GTCATGCCTAAGATGCAGATCTTTCACTTCACTTGCTCTGTGTTCTTCAGGAATTGAGATCAACACTTTCCTACTGTTACTTGTCCACTTTGTTAATGTAAACCCTCCACTGGTACACAAAGCACGAAGATCACTGACTAATTTCACTGCAGCTTCTTCTGTAGCTACACCTTTCAGACAGTCATCTATGTAGAAGTTGCACAGGACTGTCTAAACAGCTTCTGGAGACGCTTCTTCCTTGTGATCTTCTGCCGTTCTTCTTAGCGCATATGAGGTGACACTTGGTGAGGAAGTAGCTCCAAAGAGATGCACCATTATCCTATGTTTCTTCATGGGCTCATCCAGCTTGCCATCTGGCCACCAAAGAAAATGAAGAAGATCAGCATCTCGTTCTGGTACATTGACTTGGTAAAACATTGATTCAATGTCTGTCATCAGCGCTACTGGTTCTTCATGGAATCTTAAAAGAACACCCACCAGTGTGTTAGTCAGATCTGGTCCCTGCAGTAACTGCTTGTTTAGAGACATATCCTGGTATGAAGCCGTACAGTCAAACACGACTCGCAACTTTCTCTTCTTCGGGTGATACACCCCATGGTGTGGTATATAGAACACTCTGTTGTCGTCACGGCTCAACTGGTGGTCTGGCACTGGAACTGCATAGCCCTTGGTGATGATGTTTTCCACGAAAGCCTTGTACTCTTCAAAAAAACTTAAGATTCTTTTTAAACTTCCTGAGCAAACATGCTATTCGCTGTTCTGCAACACAACGGTTGTTTGGCATTTGGATATTCTCATTCCTGAGCAGCAATCCAATGCTATAGTGTCCATTTTCGAAGGTCGTTGTCTTTTCTACTGATCTTAGAAACTGTTTTGTCTTCTTGTGACATTTCCTCTTCGTCATCATAATTATGTTCTGAAAAATCTATATTGTACTGTTGGACTAGAAGCTTCTCAACTTCCACCAAGGAGATTCTGCTTACTGAGAAATGTGGTTCTTTGTCTTCTGTGCCGTTTAGTTCTTTGCTTATGGGTCCATTCACATCCCAACCAATGGTAGTCTTCACTGCATAAGGACCTCCATTTTGTCCATTAATGACACGCCATGGCTCCATTGCTTTTGCACAGTTAACTCATATAAGCAGCTCTACACTAGCCTCTATCTCTGGTAGCCTCACTTCATGTAGATACGACCATTTATGAATTTCTGACAGTTTGGGTATGTTTCCACTACTCACAGGTATACTAGTGTGAGTAAACACCTTGGGTAAGTCAGTGAACTTTGAATCTTCCAACCCACACACTTCCAGGTCTGATATAACAAAACTGTTCATGAGTTTCTGTTCTCCTGGGTTTTCTTGACTCATGGTACTTAGGAGTATCTGTGTACACTTTCCTTTAACATTCAGTTTCCTTTGCAGATCTTCAGTGCAAAATGTTTCCGTGCTTCCCGGGTCTAAAAAGGCGTATGTCTCTATGTATTTAACACTCATTTTAGATTTTAGTGAACATTCTTTACATTCCATTCTTCGTTTGCAGAACTTGCTGAGACGCCCAGAAACCAAACATCCAAAACAGAGTCCTTTTGACTTCCACAAGTCTACTTGTTCTTTGTGTGGTTGATTCTTAACCTTGCCACAAGAAACAAGAGTGTGAGGCTGCTGACAGTACAAACATGGCTTCTCAAAAGCACTCACTGTTTTGATTAAGTTTTCTGTTTTAATGTTTGTTTCTTGTGGTCTTTTGTTCTCAGTGGAATGTTGGTGGCAAAATTGCTTCCCCGAAACTCTTTCTTTGCTGGATACCTTTCCCTTTGGTCACTCTTTCCACTTGTCATTACACGGTTGTCTGGGATATTACCAAAGAGTGGATCCATAGCTATTTTAGCTTGGCGGTCTATGAAGTTCATGAAGTCAGCAAATCTTGCTCTTTTACTCCTTTTCTCTTGGAATTCAAATGCCTCAACACGCCAATGTTTTTGGGTTTTGTAGGGCAGCTTGGATATCACTGTACGTAGATTGGTAGGATTATCCATCTCTTCCAAAAATTCAACATCCTCCATCATGTTGCTACATCCAGTCAAAAACATAGCATAAGCATTTAATGCTTTGCTGTCATCATTTTTCACTTGGGGCCATTTGAGTGCTTTCTAAATGAATGCATTTGCGATCCTTAGCTCATCTCCATAGTGCTTATGTAGCAACTGTTTGGCCTCACGGTAACCTTTGCTAGGAGTCATGTGTACACAACTGTGAATTAGCTCCTGTGGTTCGCCAGCAGTGAATTGTTCCAAGAAATACAACTTATCTTGATTGTTATCAGTCTTTTGCTCTACTGCATGCTCGGAGGCTCTTATGAAGGCTAGTGCATCACCTCTAAAAACAGGACTGTCCTTTGTTGGCAACTGAGCCAGCTGCTGCTGTTTCACAAGTAACTCAGTGATAACATCAGCTTGTTGTGGGGAGCATCATGCCAACCCTTTCCTTTTTAACTCCTCGACCTTGCGATCTTTGTATTGATACATAACTTCTCAGACCATCTTCAGATCTTTCATATTCTTTAAGGACCTTTAACTTTGCTTGGCTTTCAGCTAATGCAGTCTCCAGCTCTAACTCTTCCTTTTCAGCTTTGACTCTTGCTGTTTCAAGCTCAAGATGTTGCCTAATCCTGGCCAACTCAAACTCAAGTTGTTGCTTTTTCTTCAACGCTGCGGCACGTTCCAGCATGGCTGCGTGTCCTGCTTCCTGTTTACCACGAGTGGAGGAAACTCTACTAATTTGGTAGTAATGTGGGTCTCAAGATGGCTCACTTGAGACCCACGTGAGCTATGATCTGCATCATTTCTATCTCCAACCTGTGATGCACTGTCATTTGGTTTCACAGCTTCCTGTAATTCATCTGTGGCGTGCTCCTGCTGCACAGCTTCATTTGGCATCATATGCTTATGATCATCTGCGATCCACTTCTTTGTTGCAATGCTGTGAAGCACTGGCAATGCAAGAGCCCATGATGTTGAGACTAACATAAGAAAAGAAAGAAAAATACAAGTTTCGGTGGAACAACTGCACCAGCAGACAAAATAAGGTTTCTGAAATGTAGGGAAACTGTGATATCCACTGAAAACATTCTTTAAAACTAATTGGAGACTTTAAATGAGCTAGTTTTAAAATCATAATGGCTCTTTAATTGATCAAGTTATTTTTGAAAACCCTTGGAACAGTCATGAAATGGCAGCCACTCACTGAGCCTGGTTCTGCCAGAGGTTTCTTCCTCCCCACTGTGGCCTAGTGCTCGGCTCAAAGGGGTTTGTCTGTTGGGGTTTACTTTTTAATACTGTAAGCTTGTTACCTTACCTTACAGAGTGAAACACCTTGAGAAAGCCATCATTTCATTCTATTTGGCACTATACAGGTTGAAGTGAATTGAACTTACAACATAACAAATTCAGCACAGATTTCTTTTAGTTTTCATTGTCTGTGACTTTAAAATACATGTTATTTGTTATTCAGTTAAAACTACGAGTAGAAATTGCAGAGAAAATGATATCATGTCATGTGACCTGTTCTCTAATGTGTGCCTTTTTCTTGTTTTGTATATATTTCTCCTGTTTGTTATTTATTCCTGCTGTCTTACTATTAAAATGTCAGTCCTGCAGTTGTTGTGGAATTCACTTTTCCCTATAATTATTTTAAGCTTCTCTGGCATTAATTTTAATTTTTCAAAGAAAAAATATTTCACCCTGTTTTTTTTAGAAGCTCGGGGAGCAACTGTGATTATATAATTTCCTCACAGAATAATAAAGTACTCTGATTCTGATAATAATGAGCATATAAAAAGGTTTTGTGAGCAGCTCAAACAGATTTGGGCTGATAACAGCTAATGAACTGATTGTTTTGCAGTCTTCAGTCCAGTTACACCATTATTTAAAAGGGGCCAGTTCACCCAAATGACTAAAGCCCTTCCCTCTTTCCTTTTGCAACCCAAACGTTTCTGAGACACAGACCACTATATGGTTAGTTATGGAATATAGTGGTTTATGGAGTCATAGTGGAGGAGAATAAATTGATGTAGTCCCATCTAGTGGATGAACTCTGAATCACACACAAAGACACAAAAATCAAAAGTCGTCAAACTCCATTTTGCTGTTTGCCAACCATCAATAAATAATAAAGAAGAAGTTGTCAAACAGGCCCCCAGAGCTCACTGGAACCATGGGCTGTATGTAACAGATGAATGTAGCAACATCGGCTCGGTGAAGTCTCATTTTAAAGTTAGATATTTTTTAAGGTGCATGTGTGTATTGGAGTGCATCAGCTGACCCTAATAGACTGGATTAGCGAGTTAACATGCTTTCACTGACCACAACTGTCGCACAGATGTCTTGGACGGACTTTCCCACACTGAGGAATGTTGTTTGTCATACAAAATGCATTAAAAATGCTCATAGGGCCACAGACACCATAAACACAATCGAGAGGTCCTGACAAATTAGTGGAGATGGAGCCTAGCAAACAGCTGGCAGCTACAGCCTGCTTTTGTAATTTGTTATAGCCTGATTTTAAGACCAATACTGATACCAACCAATATTTATTCATTTAAGCAGTTGATATATATTAGCTGATATTTTTTCTTTCAGTCATACGAAACATAGAGGAATTTCCCTAACATTTGTTAAGTTTAGTTATTTTAGAGTCCTTATTGAGGTAATACGGCTATGCAGTTTAAAAAGAATGTAGTTGTGAATTACTTGCTTATGCTGTGCCTGACTCTACTTGTATGAGCTGGTTGGGAAGTTGCTCGCACAATAGTCGATTGTCAGATTAAAACAATATCAACACGTACAAAATGGCTAAAGGATGTTTCTCTTGTTTATTCTTTACTCCATCATAAATTCCAGTACTGAGATCTCAGCAAATAGCTAATATCTGCTGATAAACGTTGGGCTCTGCTAATAATGCATAACTTTGCGTCAGACAAACAACTCGGGACACATAAATTGCACAAGTTAATGCGATGTTTTATTCATGAACCTAGGACCATTTATATATATAAAACACTGTATAAATACTCTATATATTCTACTTCCTTCTTTGACCTCAATAACAAATAAAAAATAATATTTTTTTAAAAAGCCACATGGTTATATTTAACAGGCTGTACAAAAATAAATAAAGTTTGGATATTCTATACAAAAGGAAAAACAAAACAAAACATGGTGTCTTCACAGAAGGCAGGAGAGACTTACTTATGAAGTAGTAGTAGGAGACACGTCCCTCTTTAGGCCTCCACGCACACGCATGTTCACACACACACACACCTCTTTGGTCTTTGAGGAATTCCCTCTTGGAAGGCTGTGTAGACGAGGGCAAGATATGGCTAAAAAAACACTATACTGAGGCATTCAGAGAAACTGGGTGTTACAATGTGCCGCTGGCTAAAACAAAAGAATAGAAAAGAAGATGAAGTGCTTCAGGTTTATGATAAATAAATGCAGACTGAAGTTTGGACATGACCATGAGCCATCTTATTTTCCATACCTGATGGGGTGAGCAGTTAGATTATGAGCTATTCTCTTCCTTTTGTCTCTTTATAAACTGTGCGATTAAGCTCCTCCCCCATTCCAACCATTATTTATCTGTCCAGCCCAGCTTGGACAAACATTATATACATGCATTAAAATTATGACACACACATACTGTCTGACACACACACAAACACACGCACACACAGGTGTGACATTGGCATGATAAGCAGCATCCTCTTTTAGGGAAATCAGGAATGTCCATGCGTTCTTCCCCTCAATGGGACGCAAATGAAATGTGCCACTGCTTTACAAGGAGGACAGACAGGCAGCAAGCTATGTTCAGTCCTACTGTTCAACATTTAACCCCCGGATTGATGGAGGGAATGGCTAAATATTGATAGTTACAGTGACAATTGTGGACACACTGAATTCTGCAGCACTCTCACTCTGGATGTAAACATTCATTAGCCTCTGTGGGCAGAAAAGATCAGAGTTTTTAATCTGCTGTCTTTCTGAGTGCTGGTGTAACAGAAGGTTAGATTGCATATGCAGTCCTCAGCAGGCACTCTGATCGCACAGCTCCAGCAGGGGTCGCGGACGGTCTTTGGGGTCACAGCTGTCGTTGGTTAGCGTGCGCCCGTTGTGGTCGATGCAGCGCAGCGCACGTTTACGGAAACCTCGGCCGCAGGTCTTAGAGCACGGTGACCATTCTCCAAGGAGCCAGGAGGGGCAGGAATGGAGGGCGCAGGACCGTGAGGCCAAAGGGCGAAGCTCCTCTGGGCATTCTCCAGAGGGATGTCCCTGGGAGTCCAGGCACACGACCGCTCTCTGTTGCACACCTTCTCCGCAGGTCTGGGAACAGGGACCCCACTCCCTCAGAGTCCACTCAGCTCCTCCCACCTCTTGGATGGCATTGATAGACTTCCGACGGCCTCCAATGTTGTTGTTGTTGGAGGATGAAGCAGCATGATTGGGACGAGGGGCAAAGTAGCTGTATTTAACCCTGGGCCTCGGGGATTCCCCTACGGAAAGCACCTGGATTGTGAGGGCCTCAGGGAGCGGGGAGAAGCTCCTGATGCGCTCCAGAGTGGCTGAGGAGCCACTGTAGCGCAAGAGTGCCCCTGGGAGGGGAATGTCCGTCTCCATGGTCATCAGCTTGTAATCACCATTAAGTAAATAGGTTCCATCCTGGCGCCGCACTGCCAAGTAGCTGTTATCGTGACGACTACTGGCTGGAGCACGCTGCTTGATGTCGAGGTGTGTGGCACCAGCAGGGATAGTTACAACATCCTGGTAACCAGGCCTGAAACAGACACAGATGGAGGGTAAATTTAGCAACATATATATTAAAAAAAGAATCTGATACAAGAGTGATGAATATTTTAAGGTCAGATGTCTACCTGGCACGCTCCATAGAGCCTGACACCTTCTTGCAGGTCGAACCATCTCCGCCACACACGCCACACTTATCGAAGCGCCGGCTGGAGCCGATGATACGATCACATCCAGCCTTCACACACTGGCCCTGGACGCAGACTGAGGTGGAATCAGGGCTGCATGGTGTGCCGTCAGCCACCTGGGGTCAGCAGAGAAGCACAAATGGGACATTAAAGTTTTGCTTTGTAAGATTCAAAAGGTAAAAGGTGACTTTTCCATGCTGAGACTGAAACCCAGAGGGTGGGGGAAAAAGTGCAATGATTAATCCTTTCACTTGGATGTCTGCATGACTTAGAGGACTGTTGAGGGTAATAACAAACTTGTGCACTATAAATATTTTTTTTTTAGCCTTTAGAAACTCTCACCTTGGACTTGAGGACAAAGAAGTATCCGGTCCCCTTGGCCCTGCACACCAGCTTGCAGCGGTCTTTAGGTGAAACTCCAGCGTACTTGGGGACCCACTCGACGCCCTCACCTGAACCCAGTGACACTTGAGCTGACATGTCATTGTGGGCCAAGCACTGCTCCTCACGGAAAGACAGGCCTGACAAAGAGACAAGGATAAGTCAGCTTTAGTGCTAGTGTATAACCGCAGGCCAGCATTCACACCCAGGTAACAAGTGGGAAGTGAATTATTTCTATTTAATCGCCAAAATTTCTTACCATTGGTGTCTGGGCACACTTCTGTGTTGCATGAGCGGTACTGGATCCTCTTTCCCTCGCAGTATTTTCCCCCATTCTCAGGCACAGGGTTATCACAGGCACGGAAGGAATACTGCACTCCTCCACCACAGGTCCGAGAGCAGTCGCCCCAGGGACCCCAGGGACCCCATCCACCATTAACAGGAGTCTGAAATCAGGGCAATTTAAAAATTATAGCTTGATTGGTCCAGCAGACTAACAGCATGTAGAAAAAAGTGCTTAAATCAGGTCTGGGTCATACCTGTTGTTTAGCGGCCTGGCTCTTAGTGAGACAGTGCCCAGCCAAGCAGTAGCTGTCATGCCCACAGGGTGTCCCATCAGCCCATGGGAAGTTCTTGGTTTGGCACACGAGCAAACCATTGGATGTAGTCACAGTGCACCACAGAGTTGCACAAGTGGTGCTCGGGTCAGGGCAGTGCTGGGAGTCTTCACCAAAGGTCAGGCGACACTGATGGTCAGCATCATAGACTGCCCCGGGCAGGGGCTGGGGCAGTGGCTGGGGCTTAACAGGCTTATCCAGCAGACACTGACCATGGCCGTTGTCCAGGAAGGTGGTGACCATTAGGGCGGAGCAAGGAGACCAAGGCTGCTGCTGGTCCAGGTTAGACAGGGTGGAGGCCATCATGTGGGAACCCCAGTGGGCACCGTTGATGCCAGAACACAGCTGGGCATCATCATGAGGCATGTTAAACACGTGGCCTGAAGGAGGAGATGAAATAAGTTATTTAATGATGCATGTGATTAAAAAGATTTTACATCAAGGCCAAACTTTTTTTTTTACTTACCCAGTTCGTGCGCCACTGTAAATGCTGCTTGGAGTCCATCATCCTCAATAATCGAGCAGCTCCTGTCCGGGTCACACACCGTGCCAACATCCGCCATGCCCAAAGTGTCACACGAGTGGGCACCGCAAAGGTCCTAACAAAGCAGAAAGTGGAGAGCAAGATCGTGAATACTCCCCATTTCTCCACACCTGTTCTATTATATGCTCTACCATAAAACCAACACTCTGACTTACCGTCCTGGTGAAGAGCACGGCCGTGTCGTAGTGCTCCGGGTGGCGGTCGCTTGGAGGATTGTGCTGTCGCTGCCACTTGCAGAAGTTGCGGAGAGTCATGGCAGCGTTGGATGACACCTGAGGACCTCGCTCCTCCTCGTACACCACCAGCAGCTTCACCACCGCCAGGCTGATTGAGTTGTGGATGCTAGGGTGGCGGTAAAGGCGGGACGCCACTGCCATGATGGTCAGGAGGTAAGGTTTGAGCCCCGTGCCGTGGAACTCGGCCATAGACTGGTCAGCCACCAGCATGATCTCCAGATAACGAGGGGTGGAAACAAAACGCCTGGCCCTGTGGTGAGCTGAGAGCAGAGGTTTTATGAGCATTTATTCTGTTAGTCCTACGTTTGCTGCTGAGTTCTGCAGTGTGCAAGTTGCCCCAGATAAACTGAATGACTTCAATTATTAGAAATGCTAGAGGGCAGTTAGTGTCCTAAATAGCAGCTACAGAGACCAGTTATTTTTTTTTCTTCTCAGAGGGATAGAGGCTCCCAGGAGAGCTCCGGATGTGCCTGGAGCAGCCTGGCTGCCATGACTCAGCGTCACACCACCAACAGCTCCTCCTCCTTGGGGTCCACGCATTCTTAAACTGACCTTCTCTGGTGGAAAATTATGCCAGAGAGAGAAAGAGCGAAGGGAGAAAATCCTTCCTGGGGGTGGGGTGGGGGGAAGAGTGTCTGCCGGTGAGAGTTGTACCAGGAGGCGAGTTTACACGCCTCAGCGCTACCGGGCTCTGACTGGCCCCAACCCCCTTCACCCACACTCCTCCTCTTCTTTCCTCTTAAAGTAGTTTAACCCCCCCCCGCCCCCCCCACCACACACACACACACCACCCCCACCTTTCCTCCCCTCCCTTCCTCACTGGCAGTGCGCTGACAGAGCTGTCAAAAGGTAGTCGAGTGCATCGCGCACGCTGTGCAACCCTGACACATTAACTTTTGTTACATTTACACGTTTAACATAAAATCTAATCTTTGCTCTTTTTTTAAATATTTAAAGCTGAATACTTTTCGTTTTTTAAAATACATAAATAACCTTGTTGGGTTTTCTTTGCTTCTTTTATGTTGCTGCTCTCCGCATTTCAGCTAAGTCCGTCATAAAAATGAGTAACAGCGTGTAAAATGCGCACAGCATTACCTGTCTGGTCTGCGTTAGGGGCTCCGTGACTGGCCGCTTTTCCCAGATTCTTTGGCACCCTCTCCTCATCCTCGTTGACCCCGCACTTGGAGGTGCTCTCCTCAGCCGAAGCTGCCCGGCCTCTCCGGCGAATCGTATGCACATCCTTGTCAGTGCCCAAGAAATCAGTGGATTTAAGGGGCTGAATAAAGTACTCTTCGCCCTTGAAGTAGAATCCGCCCCTGAGTCCATGGCACAGGTTGAGCGCAGCGGCGGAGCGCTCATCCCCGTTCACCGTGCCCGAGTAGAAGCAACCCGGCTCGGCTCCGCTATTGGGTTTCGGTGTCGGTTCAGACACTGGAGTCCCCACGATGTGGAAGACAAAACCTGGCGCCAAAAAGGTCTGGTCAGGCTCTAGACGCAAAACCAGCTGCATGCCAAATACGTCCAACCGGTACACCCTCATTTCCGCCTCCTTCTCGCTCTCCTCCGCGGAAAGAGTCCGCCACGGTTCGGTTTCGCTCTCCGACCGGGCCGTCGGGTCTAACCTGACCGGCACAACGGTGCCCTGCTCCCAAGCACCGTGCGCTGCGCCGACGCACAGAGCGGCAATTAAACTGATGGAAATGCGTAAAAACGACATCATGGAACTGTGGAATCCGACAAGTGGAAAGATAAACTGAGAGTTAAGTCTTTACAATGAAGAAGTAAATCCTTTAAAAATCCACCATGAACTAAAAAAAGGTCTTTGAACTCACAAAACCCCCAAAACCCAATATTACGCACAAGTATATAAATCTAAACAAATAACTAAGAAAAAATCAAAAACAGTGCAAAACTCATTTAAAAGTTATGTGCAGATTTGAACTGTTGCAAAGAAGTCCGTTCATTAAACGACAATAAGTGTTGCGGCAGTAAAATCCAACAGGTCGCCTCTATCTCTCTATCTCTTTCTCCAAAACTGAGTTGTCTCCGTGTCTAAATCTAGCTGTCAGGTCAGAGGCAAGTCTTTGCTCTGCAGGACCGTCTGATCTGTTCTGCCTTCTGTCAGAACTGAGCCGGTCCCTCCTATTTATCCCCATATCCCGGGACCACCCCTTTCCTGAGGGCCCTTTGATCTGAGTGGGGCCGAATCCCGTGCGCAACGAAAACGCACCAGCGACCTGGAGCGTTGCCATGATAATCAATCATTGTGGAGGAGAGAGCTCTTGGCAGAGGAACTTTTCTTCTTTGGTCCGTGCTTATCTGTCAGAACAGTTACTCTTAAAGCCCCTCACGATATCATTGCTGTATGTGGGTTATATTAGCATTCACCTTATAATACAGACTTTCGAAGAATTTCACTGGAAACGTCTTAAGGCCCCTTTTAGTGTATACCTGATAAAGCTTTGTTATAGAAGCGGTGTTCTACTTTCTCAGAGCTGTATAACGTTCATTAGACGTTAATCCGTTTCTAGCATGGCGAAGGCGTGTAGTGGCTGATGTGGACCAGTATTGTAAGTGTCACTGCAGCTGAAGAAGGGAAGCTGGGGAATGGGAACAATATCGTGCTGGCCTGGGCTCCAGAAGCCGTACTCACCTTTTCTGTGCCAAGCCGGCTGTGGTGCGCCGTGGCCAGGTTCCACCGCTCTGCTCCCCGGGGAGAGGGAGCAGAGAGGGGCCGCCGAGGTCTTAAGGTGGAGCGGTTCCTCCACTGGGCTGTTTCTGCACTACAGCCACGGCAGGCACAGCCCCAGCCCTCGGGCTCCTTCCCCCGCCCGTACCGACTGCTGATCTCCTCTTAGACACAGGAAGAGTTTACGCTGGAGTTTCATTAAAAAGTAACTGGCAAAGCAAGGTTCCTGTTATCTACAGTGCTTGCAAGACACGTCAGAAATGAATGAAAATACCCCGCATACATCTTTTTAAAGAAATCATCAAAAATAATTATGCAGTTTTTAAAGGCAAACATACTGATATTACCCTTAAACGTTTTAAGGTTAGATTAATGTTACGACTTTAAAGACACGTGTGAAATGATTGAATTAATTGTTTTGGACCAAGTTTGATAGCTCCTACATTGCTTATTCTCTCTCTGTATCTATTTTTTCCGTTTGTTTTTACTGTTGACTTATAGAAGCAAACATCAGTGATGAGTGTGAATGGACAGATTGTGGAATTCCACCTTAAAAGCAACAGGTTCGAAAAAAAGAATAACTGTAACTTCGGCTACTTCCAGTAGATGGCAGGTAATTGTTCAGGAATGTCTCCAGGCAGTTGGAGAAATTTTCCATGACCCCATAGAGCAACCATAAGCGTGGCCGATAGGTGGTGCTCTTGCATCAGAAATGGGGTGAGCTGCTTAACGCGAGGGGGCAGCCTTCCCACATAAACCAATATGAAAGCACTGCGTAGAGAACGGTGTCTGTGCTTTAGGGTGCTGATTATGCAACGCAGAAAGTTTATGAGATGATAAATGTTCAATAGAAACGGGAGATAAATATGATTCATAAATACTGGGACTGAGGCATCCTTACCGGCATCAGTGCTTGGGGAAAATAATTACTTAAAAATAAGTCACATAATAATTTCTTCTGTTAGTTCCAGTTGATTTTTCTTTGTGTACAGCTGACCTGGTCTGCTCCTCTATATTCACTGCTCTTTGTGGATTTAGCCAGTTGAATTCAACAAGCAGATGAGATGCGATTTTCAGTTTCATGAGAGTTATATGGCTGATCTTCGATCCCTGGACATTATAAAGCTAGTCTAAAGCTAATTTAAAGTTAGAATTAAGCATCATCATATTAAATATAAATCTGCTACCCGAATATAACCTAACCTGGACCATGAACATGATAGCCTGCTCTGTAGCAGTCTAGCTTAAACATCACTATAATCTTCTCTATATGGTACTGCCAACTAACCAGTTTACCATGCAGGAAGCAATGCAATGCTGCAACATTCAAAACATTAACTCATTCTACAGAAATATGCATTAGCCCACATTTTACATCGAATTGCTCATTAATTGAACTCACAACATCTTAATTAACTTAAAGTGATTTATGGATCATTCTGGGCCACTTTAAGATCTGTGTGTAAGTGTTCAGAAGCTCAGACCAGTTTCTCTAGTTTTAAAGGAAAATGATGCTTCATTCGAGCTGTTAGTTTGGGCCAGATGCACTTAATGGGTTCAGATCTTGATTGTGGGTGGTGCCCTGACTGTTTTACCTTTGAACCATGGTGTAATATATGCAGAATATTTCTGGGCATCATTGCAAGGTAAGCAGGGTGTTCCTTGCAAAAGACATCATCTGGAAGCGGGATATAATATTTCAGAGCCTGTATATATCAACCACCATTAATGGTGCCTTCACAGATGTGCAAGTTATGTGTGCAATGTAATAAACTAGAAACTGGTAACGAGCCAAATCTTCCCTTTCACATAAAACCTGAAGGATCGCAGTGATTTCTAGAAAGACTGTCAAGTTTTTACTCGTCCATCAACAGGACAGATTTTTAATTCACTTTGGTTGTTTCTAAACTGACTGAGGCCCAGAGACGGTGGGAGTGTTTCTACATGTATTTTTACATGGTAGAAGCTTAACTTGCATGGTTGGATGCACTAACAATCTGCATTCAACAATGGAGTTTAGACATGTCCTAAAACGATGTGGTTTCTACAACTGAATCATGGCTCTTGTTTTAAACCTGAAGTGGTTACTTAAATTACTTTACAACAGTCCAGCTTCAGAGGTCAGAGTAGTATGTCCTTAAAATGGATCAAATATCTATAGTAGAGTATTTGTCATTTGCACATTTTTTAGTCTAGTTTACTAAATCTGTAATTGGAAGACAATACAGTGGGGCAAAAAAGTATTCAGTCAGCCACCGATTGTGCAAGTTCCCCCACTTAAAATGATGACAGAGGTCAGTAATTTGCACCAGAGGTACACTTCAACTGTGAGAGACAGAATGTGAAAAAAAAATCCATGAATCACATGGTAGGATTTGTAAAGAATTTATTCGTAAATTAGGGTGGAAAATAAGTATTTGGTCACCTCAAACAAGGAAAATCTCTGGCTCTCACAGACCTGTAACGTCTTCTGTAAGAAGCTTTTCTGTCCCCCACTCGTTACCTGTATGAATGGCACCTGTTTGAACTCATCATCTGTATAAAAGACACCTGTCCACAGCCTCAAACAGTCAGACTCCAAACTCCGCCATGGCCAAGACCAAAGAGCTTTCGAAGGACACCAGGAAAAGTATTGTAGACCTGCACCAGACTGGGAAGAGTGAATCTACAATAGGCAAGCAGCTTGGTGTGAAAAAATCAACTGTGGGAGCAATCATCAGAAAATGGAAGACATACAAGACCACTGATAATCTCCCTCGATCTGGGGCTCCACGCAAGATCTCATCCCGTGGGGTCAAAATGATCATGAGAACGGTGAGCAAAGATCCCAGAACCACACGGGGGGACCTGGTGAATGACCTGCAGAGAGCTGGGACCAAAGTAACAAAGGTCACCATCAGTAACACACTACAACGGCAGGGAATCAAATCCCGCAGTGCCAGACGTGTTCCGCTGCTGAAGCCAGTGCATGTCCAGGCCCGTCTGAAGTTTGCCAGAGAGCACATGGATGATACAGCAGAGGATTGGGAGAATGTCATGTGGTCAGATGAAACCAAAGTAGAACTTTTTGGTATAAACTCAACTCGTCGTGTTTGGAGGAAGAAGAATACTGAGTTGCATCCCAAGAACACCATACCTACTGTGAAGCATGGGGGTGGAAACATCATGCTATGGGGCTGTTTTTCTGCCAAGGGGACAGGACGACTGATCCGTGTTAAGGACAGAATGAATGGGGCCATGTATCGTGAGATTTTGAGCCAAAACCTCCTTCCATCAGTGAGAACTTTGAAGATGAAACGAGGCTGGGTCTTCCAACATGACAATGATCCAAAACACACCGCCCGGGCAACAAAGGAGTGGCTCCGTAAGAAGCATTTGAAAGTCCTGGAGTGGCCTAGCCAGTCTCCAGACCTCAACCCCATAGAAAATCTGTGGCGGGAGTTGAAAGTCCGTGTTGCTCGGCGACAGCCCCAAAACATCACTGCTCTCGAGAAGATCTGCATGGAGGAATGGGCCAAAATACCAGCTACTGTGTGTGCAAACCTGGTAAAGACCTATAGTAAACGTTTGACCTCTGTTATTGCCAACAAAGGTTATGTTACAAAGTATTGAGTTGTATTTTTGTTATTGACCAAATACTTATTTTCCACCCTGATTTACGAATAAATTCTTTACAAATCCTACCATGTGGATTCATGGATTTTTTTTCCACATTCTGTCTCTCACAGTTGAAGTGTACCTCTGGTGCAAATTACTGACCTCTGTCATCATTTTAGGTGGGGGAACTTGCACAATCGGTGGCTGACTAAATACTTTTTTGCCCCACTGTATGTTATTGACTCTACCATCAGGTATATACACTGATGCCATGACAAAAACGACACAGACACAAAGACTTTTAAATATATAGATTTTATATACATATATTCATGTGGGTGACTAGAAAAGAAAACACTATATTCTTACAAAGGAATGATTCTGCACAGTCATATTCCTAAGTTAAATAGTAATTTGATACAAAATTACTATAATAAATAAAACTCATCTCATTGCTTTTTTATTCACACATACCAGTTATACAAACAATAAATTACAAGTTCAGTGCTGTGTTTCTGTCATTCAGCGAGAGGGGTTTTCCCCACAGGAGTCAGAGTCGGGTTGTGTGTGGAGTCTGTGTCTGCGAAGTTTATGGCTGAAATCTGTGCAAATGATGGATTGTTTCAATGTGACTGCATGTGTACATTACTGTTACAACATGGCTGAATACTAACACATATGAATGATCTATGCATTGTACAAACATTGTCTACATTGCGTAAATAAATGTGAATGTCTGAGCGGCAAAGAGAAAACATTTTAAGAGTGACCTCGGTCATGTCATATCAGCAACTTCTTCTCATGCTTTGTTTTCTCCTGCACAGATGCCAGATGGGTGAGGTTGGTCACAC